CATGAGCGAGCGCATGAGTGACCTTACCCTCTCCCCCACCCTCTCCGATCCCGACTCTGACATAACCGAGCTCGCCGATGAGCGGCATTATGGGAAAGTCGAGGAGGAGGAGTTGGACCTGGACGATGAGGTCTTTATGGAGGACCCTGGCTCAGAGCTTAGGAGAGAGGAGGAGGAGGAGGATGGTGTAGGGGAGCACTGCCCAGGTGTCAGCGATGGCCAGGACCCCTTTTACGACCGCTGGCCTCTGTTCAGTTTAGTGGGAAGGTTGGTGAGGTTTCAGGAGCATGCTGGCAGAGGAAACTAGCTCTTTCACAATGAGACAAAGACAAGAGTGTCTGTTACTAGAACTTCCTAACAGGGAATCAAATAGAGAAAAAGCATTTGGTAGGGGTTAGAATATCTATTGCCAAGATAAAGATAAGTTGGGTCATTTCCTAAATGTATTCTCATGGTTTCGGGTAAAACATCTTTATGTCAATCAGCTTTAAAAAAAAATTTGAATAAATTTTTTTGATAAACATTACCGCCATATTTTCTTCTAGTGTTCTACATTCTAAAGTAAATTTCTTGGATGGCATTTATTATTACTATCAATAAGAATAATAAGTATTATAATAATATTTTTTTTATAAATAAATAAATAAATGATGCCATTCTATTATGTCAATGAAAATATGATAAAATATAATAAATGTAGTGCATATATTATGTAATACATAGTAAATTATTATTATTATGTGGATTTTAACAGTAAATCAATATTGATGCTATTGTATAATGTCAACATAAATATAAACAAATTTGGTACATTCAATAATAATAATAATACAAATTTTGATTTTAATAATAAATAAATAAACAAACAAACAAACTATAATGCCATTCTAATATGTCAATGTAAATATAATAAATAAAATGTAAAAAAATTATTTATAGTCTGGCTTACAAGATTTGACTTTGAAAGTGTGAAACTCTTGACCTGATCTGAAGGCAGTTTTAATGCCTCTTTCTGTATGTTTTAGATGTGTTTTACTTAGACAACAAACCTTTTACCTTTTTTATGCATTCTTGTGCATTGATAAGTGTTGCATACAGTGTTGAAATGCACAATTTCAGTGCTGTCTGAGGTTTTCAGTAACTGAATGAGAGGAAACGAACAAAAAGAATAGCAATGTCAAGATACTGACTGTGAAACACAGTAGATCACTGGTGACAGATCCCTAATGCATGTTTATTGTAACAAAGGGCAACTTTAGACATTTGAAGGCATTTGATCATGGGTGGCTCTACAGGTCAAAATGAATAGTGTTGCGAATGGCAATCACGTCAATTCTGCCCTGTTTTGAAAGATACAGCATTGTATGGCAGCATAATACATTTTTTGTCTGCTCTTCTCCGAAACAAAATTAGCATCCTCTGCAGAATTCCGTTGTTTCTGTGATCAGTATAAATCGGTTGATTGTTTTGTCTGAAAAGCAACAGTGCTCAAGATGAAAGAGCTGGTTTCGACTACAGCAGTCTCAATCAGGCATGCCAGAACTAAAATTTGTACCACAGTTTTGGATTGGCTCCCACACTCTCACTTTCCTGCGCACATGCAACATACAAGATTTGTGATGTGTGTTGACTTTTTGATTTATCTTTTAAGTTGATGGGGGTCAAATTCATGTATGTTAATGTCATTTCAATTTTTTGCTTTCCAGTTAGCATCTGGCCCAACAAACCAAATTTGGAGTTTTTTTTTCACTAAACATTTTGTTTATCTGAGCATGCTGTATTTGCGCCTCACCAATCTTGTCGAAAGCTCCTCCCCTCTGGCCACACCTCCTGCCACTCTTGAACCCTGCCTGTCAAGCTTAATCCAGCAACACATTGGGATCAAGAGGGCAGATCTGATTTCAATGAATGTATTTGTCTGAATGTAGACAAGACGTAGGCCAATCTGTCACCAAACTTACCTGCATTCGATATCTATTCGATGTCTAGTTCAGGGATTTCATAGACACATATCTGAGACATGGAATTGTAATTAAACCTTCAATCAATTACTGAAACATCAATTAAAATCAGATGTGACAATGCATTTCCATATCTTCACCTATGTTTATGGATTGATAATTTAGATCAGTCAGTCAAAAGTTATAGTGTAAAATAGCTTGTGGTGCAGTTCTCTTCTATATGCATGTTCTTGAAACACTTTCACCAACCACCACTGAGACTAAAATCCTTGCTATCATCACTTTCTGTATCATTATTATAGAATGGAGGCTCTAATAGAGTATTCACAGATGAACCGCAGACTTTTTGGCTTTTATTGCAGCAGCTTCTTGTTTGGTTGCTTTTTTGTGTCTGATGTTGTGTTGTCTAGTGGCAGTGTGGCTGAGTTGATCTTCACTGATATTTTCCCATTTAAACTTCTTTTTGCATTAATGTTAATCCTTTTTTCCTCTTTTTCACTCCATCAACTCATCTCAAATCCCTCTTCTTTCTTTGGCTCTCCTCCTTTTTACCCATCATCCTCTCCTTCATAGGGCATTTGTGTATCTGAGTAATCTGCTGTACCCTGTGCCATTAGTGCACCGTGTGGCTATTGTAAGTGAGAAAGGCGAGGTCAAGGGGTTCCTCCGTGTGGCAGTACAAGCCATATCAGGTAAGTTCATCTTCATGATGCTTTCACAAACCTATGTAGTAAATCAACTCAAAAGGGAAATATTTATGACTAATTAAAACTGGTTATGATTAATAATAAATATTTAGATTAGATCTTAGAATTAACTGTAGCAGAATCAATATTATAATTATTTGATCTGTCCGTCCACCGAGCAGACAATATAATAATTTATCAATTCAAGGAAAGATTATTTTCCTGGCCAAGGAAGAATAACTTTCCTTCTTTATGCAGTGCTAGCAGTAATTTAGCATATGTAGCAAGGGTTCAAACATTAATTGACTTCGAATTGTGAGCAGTAAACAGAGGCAATCAATTGTGAATATAAGGGATTTAATAAATGAAACTATATCTAACATTTAACTAACTAAGCAAAACACATATATACAGAATGAAGCAAAGTAAGGAAAACTTTACTTGTCTTTGGAAACTGTTTGAAGTCAGTTGGGGAGATGATAGTGGGGGAGCTGTTCAACATCTCCTTGATAGTGCGAGGAACCATTTGGCAATTTAGCCCCCATATAAATGTAAAGTCTGTGACCAGGACTGTAATTTATATGCAGATGTCAAAGGCTAAAAGGGGTCTCTTAAGCCATAAACCCCAAAGACCATGCATGATTCTACGCAGACGCTACACCTATTTTGAGCAGATTCCAGAGCTAACCTGCATGGTGTATCACTTTAAATTAATTATTATCACATTACATAAAGTATTGTTTGACGTTTTTATAATAGTATAGGAGTACCACAAGGCTCAGTATTCAGACCAATTATGTTTTCATATTTCATTGGTAAATTCTCTTGTGTTTTATGAATGAAATTTAAATGTATGCATATATGTATTTTCTTCCTTCCTTCCTTTCTCTGATTATGTTTAGAATTGTTTTGTACAAGCCTAAATATGATTAAATCTTAAATTGTTGCCATAATCATTAATTTCTTGTTACAGCTGATGAAGAGGCTCCTGATTATGGCTCAGGTGTGAGACAATCAGGAACTGCCAAGATCTCATTTGAGGATCAACAGTTTGAGAAGGTTGGTTGTGTCAATCATTTCATGTAATTGATTCTGTTTTGTCTTGGCAAATTAATTCTCACAGTTATTATCTCAGAAGTTGAGTTGGGCTTTTTAGGTATTGAACTGTTTTTGTAGAAGGTGAGACACCATCACAAATGGTTTTTCTCTCAGTTCCAGACAGAAACATGCACCGGTGGGATGTCTCACACAAACACATCTCAAGAGGAGCTGCGCATTGTTGAAGGAGAAGGACAAAACTCAGAGATGGGTCTCAGTGCTGATGAGGTCAACAACAACACCTGTGCAGGTAATATGTTTTTTTAAATAAATAAACATTACTGGTGTCCTCATTTATTTATTCATAAGTGACTGATATAAATTTTGCACAATACATTATGATGAATTTCTACATGCCACAACATAAAATAATTTGCCTAGTAATCATGTGTGATATTTTTACTATTAAAGTAGTTGTAAATGGTAATATAAGTGACTTACACAAAAGTTAGACAGTATTTGTATTCTAATCTGATCTGTTTTCTCATGCATTGCTGCGTCTAGCCTCTCCCGATACTCCTAACAGTCCTCTGAAGTGTGGTCTGGAATGTCCTCTTGATGTGACTCAGGAAAAATCACTCGAGCATTTGAAAATCGGCAGCAACTTCACCTTCAGGGTCACAGTGCTTCAAGCCTCTAGCATCTCTGCTGAGTATGCAGATATCTTCTGCCAGTTCAAGTGAGTAGATGTTTCTCATTCATAGAATTATCAGAATGGAGTTTCCATAAAAACTGTGCTGTACATCTGACAGATTTTAGGGTTTGAAAGGCAAATACTTATGCACGTTATGCATTTCAGCCACAGTGTTTTAGATAAACATTGTTTTCATGCTGCTAAATTTTTTGAAAGTTGCCACTCAAAAACAATGTGCCCCCTCTGTTTGAATGACGCCTCTGCAAACACTCATCCAGGATGCTCATAAGACTTCTGAAGCAATGTCATCTCAGTTGTCCTGTGTCTTTTTCCAGCTTTATTCACAGGCATGATGAGGCATTTTCCACTGAGCCATTAAAGAATACCGGCCGAGGGCCTCCACTGGGATTCTACCATGTACAAAATGTAATCAACTTTTGTGACATTTACTAATGAAGTAATTCAACCATGTTTTAGTTGTTAAATCAAACATAAATAATTTGTGCGGTTTGCTACTATTGCAGATAACCGTGGAGGTCACCAAGTCTTTTGTGGAATACATCAAAAGTCAGCCAATCGTTTTTGAGGTGTTCGGCCACTACCAGAAACAGCCTTTCCCTCTGCTCTGTAAGGACTTAATTAGGTGAGCAACTTTTTTCATATTTATTATTATCATACTTTTTAGTCACCTACAATGTCAAATAAAATGTTCCTTCCCTATAGTTCATTACGTCCAACAAGAAGGCAGTTCCCTAGAGTTATGCCTTTGTCAAAGCCAGGTAAGGAGATGTTTTTTCTAATTTCTTGACCAGTACAGTGCTTGTGGTCTCTCCGTGTCTGAACTCTGCCTCTGTTTCCCCCCAGTGCCCGCCACTAAACTGAGTACGCTGACACGCTCAACCGCTGGCCCCTGTCATTGCAAATATGACCTAATGGCATTCTTTGAGATCTGTGAGCTGGAGGCCAACGGAGAGTGAGTATCTGATAAACACATTGTGGTATATCAGTTCCTAGTAAGTTACTCATTGAAGCTTGTATGTATGGTAGGTTATTCGTATATAATGTAACCCTTGTATCTGTCTGTGTACTTTTTTTAGCTACATCCCAGCTGTTGTTGATCACAGGGGTGGAATGCCCTGCCACGGTACATTCTTGTTGCACCAGGTAAACAAAAATCCATCTGTCCCTATCAACCCATTAAATGGTAAAAGTTGGGGGTTGCTAAGATTTATGAATGTTTTAGAAATAAGTCTTTAATGCTCACCATTTATTTGATAAAAAATTATAAAGTATAAACAGTTAAATTGTGAACATTATTACAATAATATTTGTTTTCCATTTTTGTACATTAAAATAAAATTTTTCCTGTTATGGCAAAGCTGAATTTTCTGCTGCCATTACTTCTGTCTTCTGTGTCACATAATACTTCAGAAATCATTCTAATATGCTCATTTGGTGTTCAAGAAACATTTCATTGTTATCCATATAAAAAAAAACACAAAAAAACTTGGTGGTGTTGCTTAATATTTTGTGGAAACCGTGATACATTTGGTCAGGATTCTTTGATAGATTTATTTAAAATAGTTTGTAACATTACTTTTGTAACATTATAAATATCTTTACTGACACTTTTGATTACTTTAATATTTCCTTTCTGAATAAAGGTATTAATTTCTGTGAAAAAAAAGGTTTTTACAAACCCCAAAATTTTAAACTTTAGTGTAAATTGAGATAAAAATTGAGGATTTTGAATTTTCATCTTTGATTGGGGGTTGCTAAGATTTATGAATGTTTTAGAAATAAGTCTTTAATGCTCACCATTTATTTGATAAAAAATTATAAAGTATAAACAGTTAAATTGTGAACATTATTACAATAATATTTGTTTTCCATTTTTGTACATTAAAATAAAATTTTTCCTGTTATGGCAAAGCTGAATTTTCTGCTGCCATTACTTCTGTCTTCTGTGTCACATAATACTTCAGAAATCATTCTAATATGCTCATTTGGTGTTCAAGAAACATTTCATTGTTATCCATATAAAAAAAACACAAAAAAACTTGGTGGTGTTGCTTAATATTTTGTGGAAACCGTGATACATTTGGTCAGGATTCTTTGATAGATTTATTTAAAATAGTTTGTAACATTACTTTTGTAACATTATAAATATCTTTACTGTCACTTTTGATTACTTTAATATTTCCTTTCTGAATAAAGGTATTAATTTCTGTGAAAAAAAAGGTTTTTACAAACCCCAAAATTTTTAACTTTAGTGTAAATTGAGATAAAAATTGAGGATTTTGAATTTTCATCTTTGACATATTTACCGCAGGGCATCCAAAGAAGAATTACAGTGACTATTGCCCATGAAACTGGCAATGATATTGAGTGGAAGGAGGTTAAAGAGCTCGTCATAGGTTAGTGCTATTTTTTTTCTCTCTCAAAAATAGTTTATCAGACTCTCTGGCTTCCATCACATTAAGTGCTAACTGGCACAGAGGACAAATGGAGATGTTATGGTGAATGTTCAGGCAAAGTTTCAGATGACTTAGCGTTTCTTCTATTCTTTTTTAGGGCGTATCCGTAACACACCCGAAGAACTGGCAATGATATTGAGTGGAAGGAGGTTAAAGAGCTCGTCATAGGTTAGTGCTATTTTTTCTCTCTCTCAAAAATAGTTTATCAGACTCTCTGGCTTCCATCACATTAAGTGCTAACTGGCACAGAGGACAAATGGAGATGTTATGGTGAATGTTCAGGCAAAGTTTCAGATGACTCAGCGTTTCTTCTATTCTTTTTTAGGGCGTATCCGTAACACACCCGAATGTGGAGAGGAGAACCTTGCAGGTTGGAGGCCCCGCAGTGACAGCCTCATCCTGGACCACCAGTGGGAGCTGGAGAAACTTAGCCTTCTACAAGAGGTAAAATATGGTCCATCTGAGTGTTTAAGGGCTTTTATTTTTGGCTATAGTCTGATTTTTGTCTTCAGTCAAGTAAATGATTGTGAGGTGTTTGCTTACAGGTGGAGAAGACCAGGCATTACCTTCTGCTGAGAGAGAAGCTGGAAGCATCTCTGCTGCTGGGACAGGATTCTTTCTGTGGCAAAGACTTGATGGACTCACCTAAGGCCTCCAGCCCCATGATCAACCCAGTAGTCAGTCTGGGTCTGGACAGTCCCAACGAGAGGCAGAGGGAGCTGGCTGCCAAGGTAAATGTTGCCGCTTTATATCCACATAACATGACACTGATAGCCTATTCCCACCAAGTTCAGTTTGACAAAACCAAACAAAATATAATATATACAGTATATTGCACAAAAACAAATCAGCAAAAATCTTAATTAGTACTGTTTTAAGTAACACCGTGTCTACACCGGACGCGAGCGGAGCGGCGCAATGTGACAAAATAAAATAGAACCTATTATGCTGTCTACACTGGATGCGGTGTGGCGCGACATTACAAATCCCCATCAGTAAACTGATTCCGCGTTATATTTATGACATACTGATATTGTTCAAATGATTTTTAATGGTCGCTTTGTCACATCCAGTGTGGACAGACTTTACCTGTTGCGGCGTGGCACGATGCGACAACTGTCGAGTCCAGTGTAAAAATATCATCCTTAAGACAAGATAAATTTACTTGTTTTCAGATAAGATATCTTTAATAATTTAATTAATTAAATGTACATACTTAATGTATAAATATGTATAAATACAATTTTGTTCAAAACAAACTAACAAACAAAGGCAGAAAAAGCCAATTGGGTAGACAAATTACAATTAATTCATTATTTTTTCAAAAATTTATTCAAAAATTATAAGTTTTTTTTACACAGTTGCTTCTCAAGTAGTTATAATGAATAAGAATTTGCCATTTTGTTAAGGAGTACCACAAGGCTCAATATTCAGACCTATTATGTTTTCTTATTTAATTTTTGTACTTACAATAAACTCCATTCTAAAAAATATTCAGATACCTTAATGAATTGTTTGCCATGCCAACAATAATAAAAAATAAAAATAAATAAAAATAAGACTTTCTCATTTCAATAGAAAAAAAAGAAACATTGCAATATATTATTTGAAATTCTGTGTGAAGCTAATAGAGACACATTCAGTTTTTCAAATCATGTTGTTCATGTCCCTATGTTAAAATTTGGACCTGGTGAGTTTAAGTCATACGTTTTTATTACTGTTAACTGCTCTTTTATTAAATTGAAAACCACCACTCTGAAATGCTAAAACTTTTCATGTTGCTGATTTATGTATTTTATTCCATTTTCCTACATTTTTTTTTCTCTTTTCAGTGTGTGCGACTGCTCATGCACACATTCAACAGGCAGTATAGCCAGGTGAGCAGCAGTCTCAGTGAGAGCAAGGTGAGCTTTTACTGCCCTAGTGTCTGTCCAGACCTTGCCTCATTCTCTTGCCCATGCAGACCAGATATCTCTGTCTCGATCTCTCTTTCTTCTTATGTCATATTTAGCAGTCTTTTTCTTTTAGCCATTTAAAAAGGCATTTTAAAAATGTTCTTCACATCACTTCTCTCATTCACTCATTTAGAGTAGAGCAGCATGATTAGTGTAATAGATGCTTTAAGGGTAAGCATGGCATTTTCTGGAATATGATGAATGAGACACTTTTATTACGTTGCCAGCTTTATCATCTGGTGCTGCTCTTTTTTTTTTTAGCTGTCAGAGATGTCTGCATCACTTTTAAGAGACAGTTCTTCTTCCCTTCTGAGCACTTTAACACCCTCCTCCACCTGCCCGTCACTGGTGGATGGTCACTATGACAGTCCAGACCTCAGGTCAGTGTATTTTCAACACAAAACAAAAGTTCCTGTTAGTATGAAAACAATATGAAAATACTAGTTCTCTAGAATCAGCCTATACGGTCTGTTCAGGCTCAGAACACCTCAAATACTTTACAACTAACAGGACTTTCATGTTCTATGTGATTTTACAGAGGTGCTGAAGCAAACTCTGGTGCCTCTAGCCCTGATCTCGACCCCTTCAGCCCTATAGAGAGAAAACACAGGAGCTGCACCTTCATCCCGAACATACAGGAGATTCGCGTCAGGTAACATCCGCACCACTAGGTGTCAGTATAACATTCAAGACCACTGTTGAAAATCTTCTGTCCTTAAAATGTTAAACATTCTAATGTATCCTGTTATTGATTACCCTGTAAATAATACGGTATATATCTACTGTTTTCCTGACTACAGCCCCATTGTGTCAAAGAAAGGCTATCTACACTTTCTCGAGCCACACACCAATGGCTGGGTGAAGCGGTACATTGTGGTGCGGCGGCCATATGTCTACCTGTACCGCAGTGAGAGAGACTGCGTGGAGAGAGCAGTCATCAACCTGTCCTCTGCTCAGGTGGAGTACAGTGACGATCAGCAGGCCATGCTGAGGGTGAGGCCATTTATTTATACCTCGTCCAGTGACATACACATGATTACTGAGGAAAGTGTTCTGCTAGCAATAGTTGTCCACTGATTTTGTTAACCCATGTGATGTTTGGTTTCCAGGCTCTTAACACTTTTGCAGTGTGCACTGAGCACCGCAACATTCTCCTCCAAGCAGCCAATGACAAAGAAATGCATGACTGGCTGTACGCATTCAACCCACTTCTGGCAGGAACTATCAGGTATTTAAAATTAAATTATTATTTTATTTTAGTATTTCACCACACAAAAACCAACCTGTCTGTGTTTAACACTAGTTGTGTTATTGTTAGCTACATAGTTTTTGTTAAAATTAAATAAAAATAAAGCTGAAACAAAATAAAATAAATATTAGAAAAATAAAAAAGCTATAGGATCTGAGCTATAAGGTTTGTTTTGGTTCATTGCACAACCGCTCCACTGCTAAGATAATCAGCTTTCTTAAAGTTTCTTTGTTTATAACATTTCTCTCTGTCACTCACTCTCTCTCTTTTTTACCCAAAATTAGAGAGCAGTGATGCTAAATTACCTGTTATTGATACACTAAATGCAAATACATCAGCACATTTTCACCATTGAATGAGGGAGATTTTATTTGTTATATCACATATTTCAAAAGAACTCAAATTGAAACGAAAATATAAAAACAAAAGCTGAGTCTTTTGGCATCTTTGATCTAAATGATAAAGTAACTTAAAATATAAATCATTCTTGCATACATTTGGACATAAAAATATGCATTTTACTCCAAAATTACTACCTGCTTCCTTGATCAATTATGGCCTTATAACTTTTCAAACTAATGCAGTATCTGGGAATATAAGCAGATGCATATTATCACATGAGGGCTCTTTTTTCACTTCTAATTATAGCTTAGTATCTCATAATCTCAACTTTTAAAAAAAAGTCTCATAATTATGATTTACCAAAACATTACTTTTTTGTCAGAGATAATCTTCTAAAGAAAGAGGGTTATTTAGAAGTAGTGTCGCATATGCAGTCTTCTCTCATATACAACGTAAAAGGAAAGTCTGATTCTATAATAAATCGATTCATCTGCAACTCTTTTTATTTTCTCTGATATAGCATTCGAAAGTCTGATTCATTCTTGTGAATCAATTCATTTGGATGATTCGTGTAAATGAACCGATTAAAAAAAATTATTCACAAGCCCTGGTTTTGGCATCTCTTATCTAAATGATCTATTCTAAATATATGATCTTAAATACATTTAACATATGATCACTTGCATCATTTAAGGATTTAAAAAAAACCGCATTATAGTCAAAAATTACTTCCAGCTTCCTTGTTTGTTTACAATCTTTCTAACTTTTCAGAGTAATACATTGTTATCATATCGGAATATAAGCAGATGTATGTTTTCACATGAGGGCTCTAGTTACATTTCTGGTTCAGTGCTTATACACCCCCCCCTTTTAGGAATCTTATCTGAGTTGTAGGCGACGGATAAGGATCAGCGAATTAAACTGTGACCACAAACACCATTAACTTGAGTGAATTATATGGCAATAATCAGCAATATGCTTTCACACAAATAACTTTATTTTTTCAATGTTTCAATATGTGTTGACACAAATTACTTATTTTAATTTTTCATTGATATAACATTGCATTGAGTTGGTATAAATGCGTGGAGACCATGGTAGAGCACTTGATGTCGTCAGGAACCGATGAATTGGCTTTTTGAACCGATCTGTCCGAAAAGAACCGGTTCGCGGAAATGAATCGGACTTTGCATCACTATTAGCTACATTAACATGCAAATCCATAAGAAATCGGACTGATGGATGAATCGGATTGAAGGGCTGCCTTATAAACGCCTCAGTCTATCTGACTGAACTTGAGCCGAGTGAAATTTCGATGGTGTAGATGTGAAATATTTGGATTAATCAAGCATATAAATGGTTGATTCAATTGGATTTAAAATACTATTGATTATACTTTGAAATTGTTAATGATACTATTGGTCCCCCCTGTAATGATTATTTTGGTTTCTCCTATTTCTACTGAGCAACTGATTATATCTACACCTGTGACTAATTTTGTACTTGACACACTCTGAGGAAGGCTGGATGGCCGAAATGCATCAGTGTGCAGTGTTTTAGTCATTTTTAATGTTTCTAGAGTGAGCCATGTTCGAATAAAGGCTTTTTGACATCTTGGAACTGGAAGAATAGCCTTGGATCCGTAGTTTCTATAGATATAATTTTGAACCCAACCAAAGAGCACCTTCTGGGACTATTAAACGGAGGTCCTTTCAGCAAGTAGCGCTCCAAGATGTTTTCTTTGAGATACTTTTTTCTCAATCGGATCAAAAAATATTTTTTGCACATGCGCAGTGCCATGATCCATATATTTACATACATTTTACATCTTAAGGGCCAGACACACTACACTTTTTGTTCCAGTTTCTTTATGAATTTTGCTGCGTTCCAAAGTGCAAGTTTGGTGAAAATCTGACCTGTGAATTTGTATCACATGAAGACATGTGATCATGTGATCAAGTGAAGATCAGTGTGACCTCTAAAACTGCAATGCTGCTGTAAAGAGTAGATTGTACATCTTTTTACATTATGGATGTATTATGTTTTTAAAAAGATGCCACATATAAAAAAGATGTCAGAGTGTGACAAATCGATATATATGTGATATATTACGACTGTAGGTGTCAGTCGAAATTTTGCATGCTCAATGTCTAGTGTGACTGCAACTTTAAGAACGTATCTCTGTTTCTTGTCATCTTTCAAACTAGTCAGTTGAGGAGACTGAATAATTGCTAAATATTTGCTAAAATAGTGCTTCCGACATATATGTCAGGTGTCTTTATAGTTATTATAAAGGCAAAAATGACATACAGTAACATTATTGCGGTGACTTTCTTTGGTTCTGAACGTGGATAAGTTTTGTTCAGAATACATGTAATGCACATATTAACAATATGTGAATGGGGTTGTAAAGTTTAGGGTTCACATATAAACAGAACTTTAAGAATGTGAAATCGGACTGACAAAAAATGAGTGCATGTGTGTGCAGTGCTGTTCTGAAATGAGGAGGCAAATTCCTCACAAAGTCCTCTTTTTCTTTAGAAAAACAAGTGATTCATACACTTTTTAATGATATATTTTGTAGTACCGGCATTGTTTTATTTTTGTACTACAAATTTTTTCTCATCCAATTTTTTTTGAGGATGCACTGCCTTCATGCAGGAAACTCCCCTGACGTAAACATACCTTACACTTCACTGAAATGAGCTGTAAACTTGAAGTGACTTGATAATTAATGTTGGTAAAGAAGGGATGAATGTTATGTTGTTAGTTTATAGATGCAATGTCTAAAATGTATTATTGGTGCAGGTGTGTGGACTGCCACACAGGACCTGGGGCCACTCCACTGTATTTGGCCTGTCAGGAGGGACATCTGCATGTGGTTGAATACCTGGTGAAGGACTGCGGTGCAAACGTCCATGTGCAGGCCAAAGATGGCATGAGTGTGTTGCATGCAGCTGCCCACATTGGACACTATGCCCTGGTGGTTTGGCTGGTGAGTTACAGCTGCTTCAGTCACTTTTTATTGAATATATTTAAGTATTATATAAGAGTTAACTCTAACTCTGTCTCTGATGTGGATCTTCAGGCCTCCTTCACAAGATCTTGATCTGTCCTGTCAGGATAAGGATGGAGCCACAGCACTGCACTTCGCCACTAGCGAGGGCAACCATCGCATTGTGAAGTGTCTTTTACTCATGGGAGCAAAAGTCCTGAAAGACCTCTGGGGTGGGACCCCCTGCATGATGCAGCGGAGAATGGAGAACTGGAAGTGTCTGTCACCGTTCCTTTAGTTCCAATCACAAATCCTTACCATGAACGCTCAGAGGGTTATACAGTTTAAGTAGTGTTTGAAATGCTTTCACAGAGGTTTTGAATGACAGCTCTAATCTCTTGTCCCCTCAGTGCTGCCGAGTGCTGCTGAATAATCACATCAGTCCACTGGAGAGAGATTCAGATGGGTTTACTGCAGTGGATCTGGCAGAATACAATGGCTATCATGACTGTGCCAACTTCCTCCGTGATGCAGATGCTCATGTAAGATACTCAGTACTTTCTTCAGCACAACTTATTTAACTGAAAGCACATTTTTAATTAGATGTTTTTATTTTAGTTCTCTTCATTGTCATGCAATTTCTTGAATATACCGTATACACACTCGTGTTCAAATTTTTGGGGGTCAGTATGATTTTAATTAAAAAAATATATATTTTTGAAGAAATTAATACTTACATACAGCAAAGATGCATTTAATCGATCAAAAGTGACATTAAGACATTTTTAATATTCCAAAAATAAATCCTGTTCTATTAAACTTTTTATTCATCAAAGTATCCTGAAAAAAAATCATGGTTTCCTCAAAAAATATTAGCAGTTGTAAGTAAGATGTAATGATAATGAGAAATGTTTAAGCACCAAATCAGAATGATTAAAAAATTCAGCACTGCATCACAGGAATAAATTACATTTAAAAATATATCACCCTAGAAACAAACTATTTAAAATTGTAATAATATTTTACAATAATACTGTTTTCACTGTATTTTTGATCACATAAGTGCAGCCTTTGTAAGACGTTTTTCAAAACCATTAAAAAAATCGTACCTTCCCCAAACAAAAGGTAGCGAGTATGCGTATATGTGTATGTGAAATTGTGTGAAAATTAAAATAAAAGGGGAAAAAGAAAAATGTAATACAGAAAAAAAGTACAGAGAAATTAAACTTATACAATACAATACAATACAAGTTTATTTGTGTAGCACATTTATAAACAACTGGTGTTGACCAAAGTGCTTTACAAGGCTAAAAGAAACAGGCAATAAAGACACAAAGCATTAGAGAAACAATAAAAGTAAGATAAAAAAAGCCTAAAATAGGATAAAATAGAAGAGAAAAGCTTGAATCAAAAGATATTAAATGCTGAAGGGAATCAAGGGATATTGAAAGCCACGGAAAAAAGGTATGTTTTCAAGGCGAATTTAAAATTTGACAAGGTTTGGGTGGATATGATGTGAGCCAGAAGGCTATTCCATAACTTAGGCCTGATGACTGCAAAAGGGGTGACTTTAAGTCTAGTTCTAGGAGCATATAATATCCACCCAGATCTGAGTGATCTAAACTGTGAAGGCGGATGTAGTAGTTCAGATAGGTACTGTGGTGCCTGGTTCCGCAAAGACTTCAAAACAAATAATAAAACTTTAAAATCAATTCTGTATTTGACCCGTAACCAATGAAGTGAAATCAGAACCGGTGTGATGTGTTCACTTTTATACACTTCCCTTTGAGGAGCCAGGCTGTGGCATTTTGAATTAACTGTGAGAATTAGAGAAGAACTTAAAGGGATAGTTCACCCAAAAATGAAAATTCTGTCAGTAATTAATCAGCCTGTCTTACTCACCATGTCCTTCCAAACCTGTAAGACATACATTCATCTTCGGAACACAAATTAAGATATTTTTGATGAAATCCAAGAGCTCTCTGACCCTGCATAGACAGCAAGGGTACAACCATGATCAAGGCACAGAAAGGTAGTATGGACATCGTTAAAATAGTCCATGTGACATCAGTGGTTCAACCGTAATTTTATGACGCTACAAGAATAATTTTTTTGTGTGCAAAGAAAACAAAAACAATGACTTTATTCAATAATTCTTCTTTGCGTCACCCTCAGGCGCCATTTTGGAGAGTATCACGATGCATGCCTGTGCTTTTCCTGCATGTAAACAACGCATGCGTGTGGTACTCTCCAAAATGGTGCCTGAGGGTGACACGGAGGAGAAGAATTTTGCTAAATATAAAGTTGCTATTTTTGTTTTCTTTACGCACAAAAAGTATTCTCGTAGCTTCATAAAATGACAGAATTTTCATTGTTGGGTGAACTATCCCTTTAAGGTAAGTTATGGTTACTGTGTCAATGTTACACATTTAAAAGTCAAATTTACCCTACCTGGGTGAAAGTAAAAGTTTTTCCACATTTAAAAACAACATACTTAAGTATAGCAATTAAGTAGGCCTACTTTGATACTCATGAATATTGCATACATTGACAGCTGATGATGTGGATTTTTGGTAATGCTTCACCTTGTGATTGCAAAGTGTTACTGCCACCTACTGGCAGACTGATTCTCTAGCATAAATATACAGTATTTGAGCTAGTGAAATAGTAGCTCATATTGGCTGAGCCATGCTACAAAATAGAGGACAAGGCACAAATATTAAAGTGCATTTATTAAACCACACACTGAGTCATTCCCGCTGAAGAACCTCTCCATTATTTATCAGATATGGGACAGGATATTCTTCACAGGAACATCCTATTCAGAAGGCTGAACAGATACCACTAATCCCTTAATAATGAAGGCATTAATAATTTGATTATAATTTGATGCACATCTGCTGGGAGTAAAAGTGTTGACAAGTATTTGTTTATTCTTGTGGAGAATGCTGTCATATGGGACAATTAGGAAAAAAAGTCTAATTTAATGAAATCTAAAGATTTAGTTGTATATCCCTGGTCCTTTTCGTGCATTTTTAGAATGAATATTTAGTGTGGATGGACTCAAATGGATCACTTTATGTCCCCCCCAATGTCATCCACCATTTGTGAGATGGACAAAAGTTCAGTAGTCCAGTCGTGAGAATTCAGTGATGCACAAGACGTCTGATACAGTATGAAACACCAATATGCTATACATAATTCACTGAATACTTATATTTCAGCTCCGCCTCCACTGTCACTCCAATGCAAAAGGGCATCAGATACGTCATTGGTTCATAAATGAAGTGGAAACTATGCAAGAGTCAGCCTTTCTTTTGATAGCATAACTACGATGGCATATTAAAGGGGTCATATGATGCAATTAAAATTTTTCCTTTCTCTTTGAAGTGTTACATGCTCTTGGTGCATAAAGAAGATCTGTAAAGTTGCAAAGACTAAAGTCTCAAATCCAAAGAGATATTCTTTATAAAAGTTAAGAGTCAGCCACGCATACCTAAAACGGCTCGTTCTAACACGCCCCCACATGCCTACGTCACTATGTGGGAAGATTTGCATAACGCCGCCCAAATGTTCACGCAAAGAAAGAAGGCATAACTTTTATTCTCGCTGTAGTATTGTTGTTGCTGCTGCCGCCATGTAGTGGAGGCGCTGTTTTTGTTGTGAAAGCAAAACTAATTTGGTTGGCCTTCCAAAAGAGGAAGATATCCGCTTCGTCATGCCTAGAGCTGATCCGTGCTGGTCGCTGAGGAAATACATCAACTTTGCGCTGTGGATCACCGGATCGGCTTTCACCGTGGACGAAGCGGAGTCCAGCCTGGGGTCGTCACATGTGGTTGCAGCAAGCATCCTTCGTCGAATCCGCCGGGTGCTGCTCACTCAAGCCAATGTGTGTTTCGTTGTGAAAGCGAAACTACTTTGTTTGGCCTTCCAAAAGAGGACATAATGTTTCTATAAAGTGGGGCAGTTCCAACTTTGCAAGGACAGTCTGGCGCTTCTGACTCACAGCCTGTAAGTACGTTTTTTATATTTAAAGAATTTGCCACTGACGATTCAAATGCGAGTTTGGGCAGTAGAGTAGCGCTTATTGTTTGTCATTTCTCTGATCACAAATGCAGACATGGTTTTATGTTTACTTTACTTTAACTTTTAGTAATTTAGCAGACATTTATGTTTATACGGCGCAATACGCAATGCAACGCGTAAAAACAGTATAAGTCAGTAATTATAATCAGTAATTATGTCCCCACTGGATGCAACAAATGCCTAGTTTGTAATGGGTTTTATTGGTCTTGTCTCGTCGCGCCGGGACACACGGAAACACAGTATGGAGGTGGCGTAACATTTCAGTCACACGCTTGAGGTATTCGGCCAATCACAACGCACTGGATAGCTGGCCAATCAGAGCACACCTCGCTTTTCAGACCGATGAGCTTTGTAAAAAACGACGCGTTTCAGAAAGGCGGGGCATAGAGAAGAAACAATAATGTACAGTATGCGGAAAATAATGTGTTTTTTGAACCTTAAACCGCATAAACACATTGCATTACACCAAATACTATCTCAGATGTCAGAGGCCCATAAACGCAGTCAGTTTGTTTGTCAGAGGGCATTTTACTCCAGTGTGTTTGGAGTCGCTCATGCTCCATCATTCCATCACAAAGCCAACGAGAGAGAAAGAGATGTGGTGTTCTCACCAGTTTTGTTTGTTTATGCTGACATGGCATCAGTTGCTTTGTTTTGAGTGTATGGGTCTCCCCAAAGGAAAGTTTGAGGAGCACAGTGGGGTTCTTGACAATAATTATTGTTTACAAGTGAATAATTACATAAGATTAGTTTAATTATTCCCACAGAAACTGAATGAAGGAAAATACAGACATAACGCAAAATAGACTGGTTAGGCTAATATAAAAAGGAACAATTTTCAAAAATCTTTACATTGACAAATCTGTCTTTGTAAAAGCTTATTAAAAAGGATAATGTAATAAAAATATTATAAAATGTTTGTATAACTGATGTATATTGCTTTATCTATTCCAGCATTCCACCATATATAATATGGAGAAAAAATTTACAAAATGAAATTCAAATGTTCATAAATGTCAAATTTACATACTTGGGGAAAAATCATATTGAGTATAATTAAACTGTTTCCATATTTAATAATAAAATTAATATATATAAAAATAAAATTGTATAATATAATATAATATAGCCTGCAAATTAATAGAAATGGTTTGATCAGATGCATAAAACAGCTTGATCTATTCCACCATTCCACCATATATATACAGGAAATTGTCTAAAAATTGAGAAAATTCTGTTCAAATGTTTACAAATTTAAAAGCAAAATTTACATATTTGGTGGAAAATCATACCTAAGTAAAACGTGTCCATATTCATTCATAATACTTAAAGAGGTAGTTCACCCAAAAATGAAAATTCTGTCATTAATTACTCACCATCATGTCGTTCCAAACCCGTAAGACCTTCATTCATCTTCATACATTAAAGACTGACATGGAATAGAAGAAATTGTTGAATAAAATCATTATTTTTGTGTTCTTTGCACACAAAAAGTATTCTCGAAGTTTCATAAAATTGTGGTTGAACCACTGATGTCACATGGACTATTTTACCGATGTCCTTACTAACTTTCTGGGCCTTGAATGTGTTAGTTGCGTTGCTGTTTATTGAGGGTCAGAAAGCTCTTGGATTTCATCAAAAATCTTAATTTGAGTTCCGAAGATGAACGAAGGTCTTATGGGTTCGGAATGATTACTTAATGACAGAATTTTTATTTTTCGTGAAAATTTTTTTTTTTTCGTATCCCTTTAAATATAATATAATATAATAAAGACCCTGCATGAACTGCCTGTAAATGAATAGAATTGTTGTGATCTAATGCTTAACTAGAGTTGCCTGATCTGTTTCTGCTGCATATCTAATGGTCTGTGTAACTGATGTGTGTTGACCTCTTTGCTCCACATTCGATTGAGGTGCATGTGACAGACAGAGAGGTATTAAGTGAAGCGCCTTTAAATTTGTGTAACGGCAAATCAGTTAGGGTTAGATACTAATGTGACACCTCAATAGAGATTAGAACTGTCTGTCCATGTACGTGTATCGATTTGCCATCAAGCCCTGTTCTTTGATCTTTGCTTTATTTTTGGAATTGAAGTAATTCTCTAACCACAGTCCAAGACATTCAGAACAGCAAATAGCGTTATGTGACTGTAGTGTTAGTTCAATGTGAGAAACACAAAAGTGAGGAATGTGTGGCAGTCTTTAGATGTTTAAACTTGTAAAGACAAACGGTTCACCTAATCCCACCCTTTAATTATTCATACTTTACTATGAAGACCTCCTGTCTGAGCTCACTGTAGTGTGCTGATCCTTAAGCGTTTGGCCACTGGATGGCTGGAGGTCTGATGTGATTGTGGCTGCTTTCAATACACTCAGCAGCTGTTAGACTTGTGAAGACTTGACTGGAAAAGGCGTGTACTGGAAGTCATTTCAGATTACTTTATAAAAAACATAAACATCATTGTTTTACTTTTCTGAAGAAAAAAGAAAAAACCTGCAGCATTGCATGGGTTTGTTTTATGATGTGAAATGTATTAATTCAATATGCATATAAATTGGTAGAAAAAACTCTGCCTAGAAAAAGATATTTGAAAAAACCTTCAAAATAACTCAAGTATAGTGTATTGCTTCTTGGTTCGAGGATTCATATGCTTTAAGAGTTTGGTGTCTAACACTAAAACTGTAAAATCAATATCAGGTAAAAATACAACTGCCTTTGGGAAAATATTGAGCATACAGAAAATTATTTTCCATTTATTTTTTTCTTATGGAATAAGAAACAAGTTTAAAATTGAATGTTATCATGAAAGACCATATAAAAAGTATGACTAAAAATATTTTGTCATAACAGTGCGAGTAAGTAATGAGGTAATTGATGGAAACACACACACTGACACATTCATCATGTTTAGCGCTGAGAACTAAATTACATTTTGTTAAAATAAATAAATTAGCCCCTAAATATCATACATTTTATTATACACAGCTTATGCATAATCTATAGTGTGTGAAGCCTCATTTAGTATTTGAAGTCATATTTTTGAGCATGTTCAGACTTAGCCGTCTTTGTGATGCTGCTCTTAAATGCTACAGTCAACTCACACATGCTTTATCTTTGCATTACTACTTTAGTAACATTACTAGTACACTACTAACACTACTACTAATACGATCCAAACATGTTTTATGTTTGTCTGATATATGGATGTACACTACTGTTCAAAAGTTTGGGGTTGGTAAGATTTTTTAAATGTTTTTGAAAGAAGTCTCTTCTGCTCACTATATTGTGTTTATTTGATTCAAAAACCTTATATTATTAAATATTATTACAATTTAAAAACACATTTTCTATTTTAATATATTTAAAAATGCAATTGAAGGCCATTTACAGTCTTCAGTGTCACATGATACTTAAAATATAATTTTAATACTGTATTTTGTTATTATTTATTGAAAACAGTTGTGCTGCTTTTTTTATTGAAACTGTGATACATTTTTAAGGATTCTTTAAAAAAAAAACAATACTTAAAACAGAATTATTTTGTAATATTATAAATGAGCATTTTGATCTTTACTGAATAATTAAGTATTACTTTATCTAAAAAAATCTTATTGACCCCAAACTTTTGAATGGTAGTGTATGAATACATGTGTACAGTACATATGACAAGGTTAAAGTATGTCCTAATTTTCTGCTGTTGCAATGTATGGCACATGTTATTATTAATGTTAAAAAAGAACTTAGAGAGCTTTGTTTGAACAGAAAAAACACAGAACAGCAGGAACAGAGTTCACAAGTGGCCATAAGAGAAGTCAATCACTGCAATTGCAGGTATGGGTCATTTGAACCATCCGATCAGATGACTGAAATCTATAGGCAGTTTTCTGTTGTTAACTAAGTGAGAGGTCTGTTATATTAAACAGTTTGAGCTCCTGTTTCACTTTTCTCATGACTTTTTCCCTTCACTGGGGGCGGTTGACAGATCAGGGTGTACACTATGCTTCAAGACCTGTATTTTGTGCCAATTACTAAAAGGAAATTGAGTTTAAATTTAGGAAATCACTGTTCTCATTACTTTACTTCAGCAGTCTGCAGATATTGTTCTCATAGAGGAGGAAAGGACCTTGTTTAGCACAGCTGACTCACACCAGGATATTAAGGACCTGTCCTGTGAACTCGGACATAGTGGCAGGATGGAAAATATCAAGGTGATGATTTTTAATCATGAACTGATTTAAGCAAATGGGACAGGACACGCCTGTTCTTAATCGCTTTGGCTGTTTTGGTGTTCCTAGCAGCCGGTGAATGAAGTCCCTCCCCAGCCTCGTCCCTCTCCAACATATCTGGATAACTCATCCACATTACCGTCCTCCTCACAGGCTAAGAGAGCTGGAGCTGGAACCATTCAGCACATGCAAGTGGCCTCTACAGGTGAGAGTGCATGACCCTGCATGTGTTCGGCTCAGGCGAGACTATATATCTGTAACCGTTACAGATTTCTAACTGACAAAAAGGTCAACTTCAATAATAAACACAAATAAACTGAATATCTAAAGTTAACTAATTCTCTCTGTCTTTGGTGTATAGTTGTAACTTCATTCAACATGAGGAAACACCTTGAGGATGAGGAGACAGGTTTGTCCCATAAGTCCATGAGGTCGATGAGACAAGCAGGAATCACAGCGGTCTTCACTGGACAAACAATAAATGTATGTGCTAGCTTCAGTATTAAAGGGGTCATATGATGCGATTTCAAGTTTTCCTTTCTCTTTGGAGTGTTACAAGCCGCTTGTCGGAAGGAGGGACTTTGTAGAAAACGAAGCGTTTGAGAGAGGCGGGGCATAGAGGACCTACAATAATGTACAGTATTTGAAAAATAATGTGTTTTTTGAACATTAAAGCATGTCAGCATATTCTGTTACAAATAATGATCTTTAAAAAAGCATCATATGACCCCTTTAAAAAAGTCATCCTGAAATCACAATTGCTACCAGAATTTAAAAAAAAGTCAGATTTGAGAGATGTGAACTCTCTGAATTGCAAAGATAAATAAACTTGCAATTTTGAAAAAAGTCTGAATATATAAAGCAATTTTGAGAAAATAACTTATTTGCATCTGCCTGTAGCTTCTTAGTAATCCTTCAGACCTTGATTAGCTTGTTCAGGTGTGTTTGATTAGGGTTAAACCATAACTGCAGGGCTGTGGCTCTCCAGGACCGACGTTCGCCACCTCTGGTATAGTCCAAACCAGAAAAACACTGAACATAACACATCTGCATTATATAAAAGCAACAAATCACTCAATACATTAAGCAGGAAGGAAATGTGTATATTATAACACCTTCAGGGAGCTTGGTTTCTTTACTGTGATAAACACACATACACATTACACAAACAAGGAAACCTTAACTTGAGCTAAGGAAATGACTCCTGCTGTGGCATGCTAATGCAAAGAACCAATGGATTTTTCTGCAAGCTTCAGGTTTACACTTTAGATCCGCCAGGCGGTACTGTATTGTATATAGTACTTATATTATTGTGAACATCCATCGTCAATGCTAATTGACATCTTGACAAGTAAATGCTGAGTTGAAGAAACCATTTACTTCATGGATTTTCAAGATCTGTTACCTTACTAACAGTACAAAATGTAAATACATACAAATTTAAACATTCTATTTTCTTATAATATGCTGTGATTAGCTGCTTTCATTTAAGGACTATCAGCAACAGTATTTCAAACATTTCAAAATGTTAATGTTTTATATAATACTATTTCATATAAGCTACATACTATTTATGCTTAAAGTACAGTAATCTGATTGTATACCCGAACTTTTATGCTTTCTGTCAATATATACAGACTCCACTTGTGTAATGTGTTCCCATAGAGTATTGCTTAGTAATATAAAACTACTAAACAAAAATGATTTTATTCATTTTGAGGGATTTTTTTTGTGATCTTATTGTCAACGTTATCTCCAGTAAACAGCCTAGTTTTCTTGTCTATTTTTTTTTAGCCCCAGGCTGTAGATTATGAAGGAGTCTGCATGCAGACAAACAGACTTGTCAGGATATGCATCGAAAGTTTCCAGGACACAGTAATGATCTCTCACCACTAATATTAGACACATAGTCTACAATTTGATTTGGATACATTTTAATGTCATTCTCAGTTGCACAAGATTTCTCTTCTGTTTTCATTTGGTCATTTATTGTTTTGCTGAAAATGTTCAAATCAACATCAAATACCTCTGTAGCTACTCTCTCTGAAACAATGCTCCTTAACATCTCATCAGACTAGGACACAATGTGCTGGAGGAGAAATATTTATAGATTTATGTCCAATAGGTCAAAAGGGCATGCTTGTGTGATATTATTTGCATATATTATATATGCCAATTGTGTACTTAAAGAGATGCTGGTTTTAACTGTGAATCTAATCTCTTCCTTAATTTTCCAGTCTGTGCTCTACCATTTTCATCCAAAAAAGGCAAACCCCACACATAACTCAAAAATATTCTCCTTATTTAATTGCTTGTACTATATTAGTTACTCTGCAAGTTTCTGTATATAAGGAACCTATATTAGTTACTGTATAATAATACTACTATAAAAGTACAATGAATAAATTATATTTTGTCACCTTAAAAACAACACAAATGTAAATGTAATCTAAATCTTAAAGTTTTATAATATCAAATTTATATTATGATGTGCACACAGACAAAGGTTTTGCAACATGTTGTTGAACACTTTCCATTCAATTATTATTCACAGGATGTATTCACTTGTACACAAGAAAGGTCTAAATGCAGCCTTGGGTGTCAGCAAAAGACACAAAATAAACGTTAAAAGTATATAAATATGTGTTGCACTTTGAGATGCAGATGCAAACATTGCTGCACGGATGCTTGGCCTGCGGTTTAGTGTGCGTCGAGAGTTTACGAGGGACGTTTCCGTAAACACACAGTGATATCAGACGGGCGTATCGCCACCGCTGCGCATGCGCACAGGGCTGGAGAATTGACATCGCAGGGCAGCACTGCAATATCCATCGTTTCGGGACCGAAGATTGTCCATCTGCATTCTCGCAAGACTGGTGCCACCTGTACATATTAATCCATACCAACTGTGTCATTCAAGCAATCATGTCCATGGGAAGCGACTTTGGGAACCCTTTACGGAAATTCAAACTTGTTTTTTTAGGGGAGCAAAGCGGTGAGTCTTTGGGTTTGCCACGACTGGGTTTAGACGAACCCATTAACCTTTCGACACATGCGTGAAGTACATTAGTATGTTGTTGAGTCTTTTGTGTACCCGCTTGTTTGTGGTGTCATTTCAAACGATGTAATCACTCTATCGATTCCCTGTCAAACAAGTCGGTTGCATATGTTTAATTTTTGATTAGTCATGAAAATGTAAAGCTATGCAGCGTCATTAGACTTAAACACCCATCTGTGAATATAACGTGATATAGTCGTTATTTCAACAACTCTGTTATGATTGTCACCTGCATTTTCCATTGGAAGCAGAAGGGCTGATAATATTATTGATCGCTGTTATTCTAGCGCAGTCTAAATCGCTCAAAACAAATGATATATATGAAATAATTTAATCGAAAGACATATGTATATCGCCGTGTTTGTACATGTCTTCCTGTAAACATCCACTGGTTTAATGTCATGAAACAGAAAAGCGCAGAGGCTTTGCATTTCCCGTGTGTCTACTGGAGACACACCCAGGTTGGCAGTCAGTGTCTGTGGGATTCTTCAGCAGAGCAAAAATAAAAACCTCATGCATCATTTTATGAGCAGTCATAAGATCAGCCTGTATAATATGACTAGATATCGTGGTTTATTCATTTGGCCAGATGATGGTTTTATCAGTGACACTGTCACTGTCGGTGTTTGTGAAGACGTAATCAGACGGGCATTTGAGATCATGTCTGTCATTTGATGATTGGACATCCAAATATTGAAAATAATAACACTGAACATGGCGTCACCGTAAAGTTCACGTGTTCTTCAGATATTTTTGTCTTACATTTTCTAGTAATGCTTATAGCTCCTACAGTGGTTATGTATTCATCATTCACTGTTCCTATGGGGGAAAAAATGGACAGGCAGTCAGACAGACAGAGGGCCCTCTGTACTGTATAAAGCAGCATTAGATTGTGATAAGTGATAATTGCAAATTAAGTCTAAATGAGCTTTGACAGCTTTCTGGATCTTATCTAAATCATAAATCCCATGCAGCCTGAATATGATGATGGATATTTCCACACCTGCATATAAAAACATTTATTTTCCCTTTATTTTTCCATTTTATGTCAGCTTCGGAAAATTCTGTCATCGTTTACTCACCTTCATGTTGTTCCAAACCATCTTTCTTCTATGGAACACAAAAGGAGATGTTGGAAAGAACAACATCCTCTCAGTCACCACTCATCTTTGTTTCCCATATAATGAGACTGAAGAAAGGAAGTCATGCAGGTTTGGAGCAACATGAGAGTAACTGATGACATGGTTTGCGTGGACTGTCCCGACTATCATCAGAAGACCACTTGTATTCTGCTGTCCATGGTCCTGAAGCTCTCTGCTGGTCAGATTTGGTTGATCTTGTCTCAAGACATCAGCAGAATAACCAGTGAAGTCACAGAAGAATGGAACCATTATGCCATTTCATTCTATGAGCTCCAGTATAACTATTGGCATTGTGCCGTTTGGTGATTTTAGTATCTTGGCTCAGCCTGACAAACAGGCTTGACCAGACTGGCCTGAAAAGAGCAGTCCTCTAAGTGTATGAAATGTGTACTCGGGAATTCTGCTGTCACAGTGGCTCCATGCACTGCCGCATTTTTAAGTCATTTTTCCCTGTCGCCATAACTCTAAATGACAGTGACGTTAAAATGACATTCTGTCATTTGAAGGACGGAGGTCAAGACAGCATGTGTTTCAGTATGGTAAAGTAATTCAGTTACTAAAAACACAGTGTATGGGGTTGGTCAGGACAAACAAGTTATTACTCACTTCAATGCATGGGATTCATCAAAATCTGAATCTTTTCCTGGTTTTGTTGGTTTGTTTTACAGTTGGGAAAACATCGCTGATAACAAGGTTCATGTATGACAGTTTTGACAACACTTATCAGGTATGCTATTGGTTCTTTTAGAACAGAGTTTTCCAGATAAGTCTATATTATTTTGTATCTTACTTTAAATCTTATTATCAACACAGGCAACCATTGGAATTGACTTTTTATCAAAAACCATGTATCTGGAGGACCGAACTGTAAGAAGCTCTGAAACTAATTAGAATGAATGATTATATTTAATATATATCACATTAATGCAACTATCAAAATCTATCTTTATTTCTACAAATATGCCTTGTGTGTTGTTTTGCAGGTGAGGTTACAGCTATGGGACACCGCAGGGCAGGAGCGTTTTAGGAGTCTTATCCCGAGCTACATTAGAGACTCCACAGTGGCTGTGGTGGTGTATGATATCACAAGTAAGCACCTCAAACACACACTTTGACCGATGAAGTGATGTAGAAGCAACTGCTTTTGTGTTGCCATTGATGAAATAGGCATTTAACTTTTCCTTTTCTTCTTTCAGATGTCAATTCATTCCAGCTAACCTCCAAATGGATTGATGATGTCAGAACAGAGAGGGGAAGTGATGTCATTATCATGCTGGTGGGCAATAAAACAGACCTGGAAGAAAAGAGGTGTAGTCTTTTATATTAAAATTTAATACAATATTTTGTGCTAGAATTCTTAATTTGTGTCACTATAGTATCAGATTTTCATCTTTCTATTTTTCAATTAATTTACTGAAAATGATCATTTAAATTTAATAAAAAATGTAACGCATTATGTTGGGATTTGCTCTGATAGGCAAATCACTATAGAGGAGGGTGAGCAGCGGGCCAAAGAACTGAATGTGATGTTTATCGAGACTAGTGCAAAGACTGGCAGCAACGTTAAACAGGTGAGTCTAAGAGCGCTACATTGTCTGCTTAATGGCAAATGTACTTGATCCAATAGAGTAATTTAATTGAGATCATGCCCTGTAACATGACACATGGAAAGCTCTAAAAAGATTTGATTTAGCCAGAGTTGTTGCCCATAGGGCTTTAACGGTACCAGTCCACTCTGGGAAAAAAACTCTGATTTCATTCTCTTTCTGTTTGATTTAATAGTTGTTTCGGCGAGTGGCTGCTGCTTTGCCTGGAATGGAGAGCCTGGATGATAACAACAAAGAAGGAAGTATCCTTTAATGCATGACATTTAAAGCAGATAAGTGTCATTTTTGAAAAGGTGTCCCAGGTTAATATGCAGAGACAAAATTATAAAACTAAATAATTGAGCCATATGTAGGTTGATAAACACAGTGTCTGTGGTGCTATCAAAACTTTCATCAAAATCATCTCAATCAATACTGTGAGTTTGGGGCGGGACTATCTGTTGGTATGACCAATGACAGATGGAGAGTGTTTAGAAAGCCGAAAACAATATTTCAATCATGACAACTCTCGGAAGATTTAAGCATGGTGATGGATATGACAATGTTAATGTATTTGGTACATTATTGGTACAATATATCTGCTACGCTGCTGCTGCTGCTGCTGAATTGCTGCTGCTGTTGGTTATTGCTGTAGTTGTAGATTATTGCTGCTGCTGCAAGCAAGTACAGGAACATGCTACTGCCAATGCATATGGCGATACGGTGCCATGAGTATTTAAGACATACTGTTGCTGCACAAATAGCATATAAAATAACCCGTAGCAGATCTATACAGGTGGAGCTGGGGAAGGTGGAGGGTTTCAGAGAAACTCTGAAAGCGCGCTGCAGGAATCTCAAGTGAATGCTAGCCAGCCATATAAATGCAAGGCAGTAAGCTTATTGGCTGCATATGCAGCATGAACCAATCAGCTTGTGCCAAGTCGTTTAACTCTCTGAATATCATCAGTTACATTAACAACCCGTCAGCCTGCACCATCTAGAGTTTCATGACTGAACGATATTTTTATTTTCCCATTCCACTAGTGAAACAGAAATTACACAAGTCATCATAATATAAAAAATAACCTACTTAACCCAAGTTCCTAGTCTTATTGTGCATAATTTATAACATTACATATATCCTTATTTATAGTTGACATCATCAAACCTTATTTTTCAAACTGTTTGGTTCCTTTTTCAAAAACACATAGACATTTTTTTTCTTTCTGATTTCGTTTTGAAAAATAAAAGGTAGATTTAATCAAATAAATTTATTAAGAAATAACAATAATACTGGGAAGCTGAGCTGAATATTTTAATAAGGCAACACTATTTTCTTGATTTCCTTGACACACAACCCTTTTCCAGTGATTGACATTAAGCTGGACAAACAGCCAGATCCTCCGGCCACTGAAAGTGGGTGCTCCTGTTAGTAGAAAGCAGTTCGGACCTTCATTAACACCACATGCTTGTTCTGTTGCTTCCTATGGGTCCACGTCCAGTTGAACTTTATGATCGGATATAGGCTTTTTACATCTGAATGGGTCTAAAATTATATTCCTCAGTTGCAAGAACAAAAAAAAAACCTGCACTGTCTGTTTAATTGCCAAAATAATATCATAAGTAATTCAAAGTGACTAGCTAACAGATTCATATAAGACAGGAAGTGGCATGTGTAACATCTTCGGACATTCAGAGTGGATTATTGGTTGTTATGTTTTGTATTTTTGTACATTACAAAAAGCACTAAATGATGCCTTCACAAAAAAATGAGTTTAAGATTCAAGACGGGCGACAGAGTAACTGTCTTTCGTCCATAGCATGCATGTAAGACAACTTTTAGAATCGGTCATGTCCTTTGGTCCATACACATCAATAGTAACGAAACGAAGAACTGAGAATAAATGAAAAAAAGAAAAAAGAGAGAGGTCCTGTTCAAAGTGTGGGTCTGTGTATACAGTACATCCTACATGCTAATCCAGTACCAGCCTTCATGAGAGGTGTGTGTACTAACCCGGTTAACCTTTAAAGTGCCGTGGCACTGTTGCAAAGAACCAATGGATTTTTCTGCTAGCTTCATGCATACACTTTAGATCCGCCAGGTGGTACTGTATTGTATATAGTATTTATATTATTGTGAACATCCATCATTTAGACGTGGTTTATGTTCACTTGTACAAATGTTGTTTTTTTTAATATGACAAGGGCTTCACTTTTATTTTCTCGGTCTCACCTGTAGCCATACACTGGTGGTAAAGTATTACTTATGGTTTGGGCATTTTGCTGTTGCCTTATACTGTTTTACTCATCCACCAAATTTTTTTCCTGAAAGAGTACATTATTCCTGTTAAACCCCTTTCAGATGTTTTACAGAAATATGTGGGTTGCTTTTTATTTTTTTATTATAATTTTGTAATTTGCAGCCAACTAGAACTAAAAAGAATGAAATAAGTGTCATTCATTCGGTTGGGGTGAGAAAGGCGATTTTGAGGTGAGCCTTAGGAAACAACAGATTTTCATTTCAAATACATGCACTTTCTTCTGGGTTCTGACAAGGAAATGTATGGTTCACCACATACTAAAGTGATGAAACAGACAAATGATTGTCGTATCCTTTGTAGTAAAGCTCTCGTAGTCTCCCGCACATGCTGAATGGATGTGTAGATTCAAATTCTAAATGCTAGTTGTAGGCGAACACTTTCATCCTAAAACATGAAGACCTTTTTAAAACAGCACTGAGCTGAGAGTGAATGTACTCACCTGTCGTCCACTCACAATATTCTGGTTATCGCAACAGTACGTTCAAAAAAAATGCGAGTTGTTTACGAATCTCTGGAAACATAGTATCTTTAATATTTAATGTATTTGTTTTTGTTTTCCATTTTGAATTGTTTACATAAATGCACTGATTAACACCACTGATTGTATAGAGATTAATTTAGGATATATTAGGTATTTAGAATATATTTAATGTTAGTGCGAGTTTCTTTCTAGGTGCCAGTAATTCTATTAACTGAAAAAAAAAATGGACATGAGGAATAACTGTGACTGAATTGTTGGTACTAGGCTTGACCTCAGCTTCTGGGATAATTTAAGGGGCCGCTGATATTAACTGGGGGTAGGGACTGAGGTTAATGAGTTTTGCATTGACAGGGCACAGAATATGTAATCTATCACATTCACATTTCTCAAGCCTCCGTTTCCTCTTGTTAGCTTTGTCATCTTTCACTTTTGTACACTAGTTGTGCCTTCTGTTATTGTGGCATCACAATGCAAAGCTTTCATTGTATGGCTACCTGAGAACACATATGTTACAGAACGGTGGTCACTGACTGGTCGGCCAGACAACTGACAGATTTATGATGAAATTGTTGTATTCACACCATCTAGCCAATTCACAGCGGTCGAGAAAAATTGCAGAACAGTCCTGTGCAAGCGAACGGTTGTATGTAAAACAGGAAGTTGCTGCTGATAGTGTGAGGAGATTGAATCTGTCAGAGGGTTGTGTAGAGCAGTGTAGTTGGCTCTTTATTCACTCTGTAAGTACATTTATGAGCATGACATCTGTCTGAAAAATCAAAATCAATAAAATCCATGTCTTAATACCAAACTGTCTACTGCTACAATGCTGAGTGTGATATTATTTTATACAGCAGTTTAAGAAACTAAGAATTACAATTTTTTTTAACCAAGCAGAAAGTTCTAAGATCTAATGAATTTCTATTTTCAAAAATCACAATTTTTTTAATGACAATTTAAGACAAATGTTATGTTTCATTTAAAGTTGAAAGCAATGGACACTTTTCACAGACTGTGATGGCGAATTTCCACAGTTGTTAACTTTGTAAATCTAGCATTTTCACTTTTTAAAAACTTTAATGTAAATTTTCAACATTATACTTGGTGTTTTCTTACCTTGGTCGTTAATTACATAAAACGAGTTATCCCTGCTATGTGAGTGTTTCTAATAATAAGGCTAAGGAAGTGACGGCAAATTGGACATCTTTCTCTCTTTTGACCAACGCAATCAATCTCTTGATATTTTTTCCACTTTTGGAAAGTCATAGAAACTTCAAGGTGGATTTTTTTTCTTATGCTATTGGTGCAAATGAGAACACAAAATAAATTTGTTGTAGTTTCCATTCATCACTACAGACGTTTACCCAAACTATGATGACTTCCGTTTCTCAGAACCCCGGAAATGTGAAAAAGGTCCATTATAGTTTGAGTATAACCTTGCTGGAAAATCTCAAAGACATTAATAATTCCCACGCAACGTTAATGGCTAATCCAGATCCAGTGCATTTATTGTGATGCACAGAGATTGGGATTCCCCTTGGCGTAAGGGAAAAAAATGTTTACGCATGCTTGCAGGCAAGCAAGCCCTCATCGGTTCTCCAAGAATCACGTGATATTTTACATTCAAAAAGGCGAATACGATTTATAATCTGAAGGAACACGTGTCAGTTTGTATGGCCGTTCTAGTTGCAAACATGACAGTCCTGATAACTCAGTGTCTTCACTGTTTCAGGAAGCAAAGGCAAGCAGATGAGAAAGACAGATGGTGCAGCACTTTCTCAGGTCTCAGTGGGAAACGGTAATCACTTATTTGTGTAAATTGTGTCATTAGAAGACTGCATTATAGTAAATGAATGAGATTGCAGATGAATATGACTCCCAAAATGCAGGCGTCCAGGCTGTATCTACTTCAGTCCAGAGGGCCGTGACTGTGTCTGCCAGTGAGCATCCCACTGGCTGCGGGACAGTGGAGGGGATTCTGATCCAGCAGGTCATTGAGTCTGGTGAGCTCAGCACACTAATACAGTATTGACACACTGTGATGAAAGCCTTTACTTAGGTAATGCTTTAGCTCTTAGTGTGTGTTTTGATAGTGTAAACACTTTGGCAGCACAGAAGTCTCAGCTGCTCTCTCCCGCAGGAGGTGCCAAAAAATGCATCAAGGTTGGAGGAGAATTCTACTCTTCTGGCAAACTGGATGAGACAGCTGGAGTGCACAAGGCACAGACTGCACAAAACTATACTCACCAGCAGGGAGAGCCAAGCACCAGAGTCATGGATGTAGGCGATCAAAATTGGTTTGACTCATGGAAAATTACAGATGTTGAAAAACCTACTTGAAAAAAATTATATAGGCAAAAGCGGTCATAATTTTAACCTGGTACAATAGGTAAATCACATTTATGATGCCTACTGTATGTTCAGGGCGAGCATAATGATGATGAATGTACCATATGTAAAGACGGTGGGGAGCTCATTTGCTGTGATGGATGTCCTCGCGCCTTCCATCTCAACTGGCTGCGGGACAGTGGAGGGGATTCTGATCCAGCAGGTCATTGAGTCTGGTGAGCTCAGCACACTAATACAGTATTGACACACTGTGATGAAAGCCTTTACTTAGGTAATGCTTTAGCTCTTAGTGTGTGTTTTGATAGTGTAAACACTTTGGCAGCACAGAAGTCTCAGCTGCTCTCTCCCGCAGGAGGTGCCAAAAAATGCATCAAGGTTGGAGGAGAATTCTACTCTTCTGGCAAACTGGATGAGACAGCTGGAGTGCACAAGACACAGACTGCACAAAACTATACTCACCAGCAGGGAGAGCCAAGCACCAGAGTCATGGATGTAGGTGATCAAAATTGGTTTGACTCATGGAAAATTACAGATGTTGAAAAACCTACTTGAAAAAAATTATATAGGCAAAAGCGGTCATAATTTTAACCTGGTACAATAGGTAAATCACATTTATGATGCCTACTGTATGTTCAGGGCGAGCATAATGATGATGAATGTACCATATGTAAAGACGGTGGGGAGCTCATCTGATCCTGGATCAACATTACTGTCCAAAAATATAGACTAAACCCAATCCCTACCCTTAAACCTAACCCTACCCATAATTCATTTCTAAAATCAGTGTGAAATGATAGCTGATTAACAAGGGTGTAGAAGCACCTAACCCTGATCGTAAGCCTAAAACAGATCTTTCCTGAAAAGTTATCGCTTAATTCTGATTGGTTAATTGGAATGTTGTTCCAGGATCAAGAAGGATGTTGATCCAGGAACATGTTGTACTTGGTGAAATCACGGTCACCACTGTAATTGAATAGTTTTTTTGTTTACTTCTACTTTTTAAAGTAATTTTTTTAATCTGTAATTTTACTTTTACTTAAGTATATTTTGTTTTAAGTATTGTACTTCGCTACATTTTAAAACACATTAATTTTACTGAGTAAAAAAAAAATTACTCCCTGGAAACGACTCCAGTAAATAATGGGCAGGAGAGCAAACTGGCGCTAAAATCACAAGAAAGATGCAGTCCGACAAGACTAGGCGTTATGGCGCAGACCCAGCTGAAAACGAAACCCCGTCGTATTCTGCTGAAGTTGAACTCGAAGGAAATTAAGTGAACCCCTGGCCATATTTAAGGTCTATTATGCAGTGTAAGCTGTTTGCCTAGGAAACTAGCAGCTTATAAAATCTCGACATCAACCCTTCGCAAGTGTGTATAGGTAAGGTAAATACTTGCATCGTTGCATCGGTGGTTAAAATGAAGCTTTGACAGTTTACCAAAAGGTTTTGCACAAATTAGCCAAAAAGACAGTGGTGCACGGTGTGCGCTATATATCGTCTGCGATAATATCGTAATTGTTGTTTTAACGATGTGCGATTTGACATTATCAGTATTTTGCCAAAAACCAAACCAAACACTCCTACAGAGTGCCTTGAAGTCTTGTAACGTTAGATTAGACTAGTGCGCGCGCATTTAGAGTGCATTCTTTCACTGCGTGTTTCAGTCTGTTAAAATGCATTTAAAATGATCACAAAATGGAAGATACAGAAAATGTATATATATCATTTCATATAGTAAATCAATATTAAACGAAGAGTGCCGTTTTTTCTCCTAAAATCAGCATGATTACATATAGATTTCTTTACAACAGTTCAATAAACAAGAAGTTAATTAAGAGACTTGCGTTTTAGACATCATATCGCCTGTTTTTGCTCTATTTCCACAACAAAAATAATTCCAAACACAGCCACCATAGCACAGTTTTGCGTCTCTGAGCAACATGACTGTGTTTTGTTCCTGAATGAATCAGCAGTTTAAATGATTAAATTAAATGGTTCAATCGCAATGACTCCCTTATTAACAGTGATTTGCTGACACCTACTGGCGGTTTTAATTTCACATGTAAAGTATCTTGATTTTTTAAAATATATATATAATTTCAAATGAGTATTCAACATTTTATGTCTTATATATCAAAACATTATTTCAGCATTTGTAACTGCAGGTTACATGCATTCATTCATGTCCTGCATTATACAGTGTGTAATCTAAATGA